TGCAAAAATGGAGGCTCTAGCCCCTTCCAGAGCTGAGATATCGAAACTCAAAAATTCGGCCCGAAAAAAAAAACGACAGTGGTACCCCTTACGTTTTTTTTTGGGGCGAAAAATTAAGTTTCTCCAATCTTCCCAAAACTCTGGATTCTGATAGAGGGCCATGAGACTTAGACCTGAGTGCAAAAATGGAGGCTCTAGCCCCTTCCAGAGCTGAGATATCGAAACTCAAAAATTCGGCCCGAAAAAAAAAACGACAGTGGTACCCCTTACGTTTTTTTTTTTGGGCGAAAAATTAAGTTTCTCCAATCTTCCCAAAACTCTGGATTCTGATAGAGGGCCATGAGACTTAGACCTGAGTGCAAAAATGGAGGCTCTAGCCCCTTCCAGAGCTGAGATATCGAAACTCAAAAATTCGGCCCGAAAAAAAAAACGACAGTGGTACCCCTTACGTTTTTTTTTTGGGGCGAAAAATTAAGTTTCTCCAATCTTCCCAAAACTCTGGATTCTGATAGAGGGCCATGAGACTTAGACCTGAGTGCAAAAATGGAGGCTCTAGCCCCTTCCAGAGCTGAGATATCGAAACTCAAAAATTCGGCCCGAAAAAAAAACGACAGTGGTACCCCTTACGTTTTTTTTTTTGGGGCGAAAAATTAAGTTTCTCCAATCTTCCAAAACTCTGGATTCTGATAGAGGGCCATGAGACTTAGACCTGAGTGCAAAAATGGAGGCTCTAGCCCCTTCCAGAGCTGAGATATCGAAACTCAAAAATTCGGCCCGAAAAAAAAACGACAGTGGTACCCCTTACGTTTTTTTTTTTTGGGCGAAAAATTAAGTTTCTCCAATCTTCCCAAAACTCTGGATTCTGATAGAGGGCCATGAGACTTAGACCTGAGTGCAAAAATGGAGGCTCTAGCCCCTTCCAGAGCTGAGATATCGAAACTCAAAAATTCGGCCCGAAAAAAAAACGACAGTGGTACCCCTTACGTTTTTTTTTTTTGGGCGAAAAATTAAGTTTCTCCAATCTTCCCAAAACTCTGGATTCTGATAGAGGGCCATGAGACTTAGACCTGAGTGCAAAAATGGAGGCTCTAGCCCCTTCCAGAGCTGAGATATCGAAACTCAAAAATTCGGCCCGAAAAAAAAACGACAGTGGTACCCCTTACGTTTTTTTTTTTGGGCGAAAAATTAAGTTTCTCCAATCTTCCCAAAACTCTGGATTCTGATAGAGGGCCATGAGACTTAGACCTGAGTGCAAAAATGGAGGCTCTAGCCCCTTCCAGAGCTGAGATATCGAAACTCAAAAATTCGGCCCGAAAAAAAAACGACAGTGGTACCCCTTACGTTTTTTTTTTTTGGGCGAAAAATTAAGTTTCTCCAATCTTCCCAAAACTCTGGATTCTGATAGAGGGCCATGAGACTTAGACCTGAGTGCAAAAATGGAGGCTCTAGCCCCTTCCAGAGCTGAGATATCGAAACTCAAAAATTCGGCCCGAAAAAAAAAACGACAGTGGTACCCCTTACGTTTTTTTTTTTGGGCGAAAAATTAAGTTTCTCCAATCTTCCCAAAACTCTGGATTCTGATAGAGGGCCATGAGACTTAGACCTGAGTGCAAAAATGGAGGCTCTAGCCCCTTCCAGAGCTGAGATATCGAAACTCAAAAATTCGGCCCGAAAAAAAAAACGACAGTGGTACCCCTTACGTTTTTTTTTTTTGGGCGAAAAATTAAGTTTCTCCAATCTTCCAAAACTCTGGATTCTGATAGAGGGCCATGAGACTTAGACCTGAGTGCAAAAATGGAGGCTCTAGCCCCTTCCAGAGCTGAGATATCGAAACTCAAAAATTCGGCCCGAAAAAAAAACGACAGTGGTACCCCTTACGTTTTTTTTTTGGGGCGAAAAATTAAGTTTCTCCAATCTTCCCAAAACTCTGGATTCTGATAGAGGGCCATGAGACTTAGACCTGAGTGCAAAAATGGAGGCTCTAGCCCCTTCCAGAGCTGAGATATCGAAACTCAAAAATTCGGCCCGAAAAAAAAACGACAGTGGTACCCCTTACGTTTTTTTTTTTTGGGCGAAAAATTAAGTTTCTCCAATCTTCCCAAAACTCTGGATTCTGATAGAGGGCCATGAGACTTAGACCTGAGTGCAAAAATGGAGGCTCTAGCCCCTTCCAGAGCTGAGATATCGAAACTCAAAAATTCGGCCCGAAAAAAAAACGACAGTGGTACCCCTTACGTTTTTTTTTTGGGCGAAAAATTAAGTTTCTCCAATCTTCCCAAAACTCTGGATTCTGATAGAGGGCCATGAGACTTAGACCTGAGTGCAAAAATGGAGGCTCTAGCCCCTTCCAGAGCTGAGATATCGAAACTCAAAAATTCGGCCCGAAAAAAAAACGACAGTGGTACCCCTTACGTTTTTTTTTTTGCGCGAAAAATTAAGTTTCTCCAATCTTCCCAAAACTCTGGATTCTGATAGAGGGCCATGAGACTTAGACCTGAGTGCAAAAATGGAGGCTCTAGCCCCTTCCAGAGCTGAGATATCGAAACTCAAAAATTCGGCCCGAAAAAAAAAACGACAGTGGTACCCCTTACGTTTTTTTTTTTGGGCGAAAAATTAAGTTTCTCCAATCTTCCCAAAACTCTGGATTCTGATAGAGGGCCATGAGACTTAGACCTGAGTGCAAAAATGGAGGCTCTAGCCCCTTCCAGAGCTGAGATATCGAAACTCAAAAATTCGGCCCGAAAAAAAAAACGACAGTGGTACCCCTTACGTTTTTTTTTTTTGGGCGAAAAATTAAGTTTCTCCAATCTTCCAAAACTCTGGATTCTGATAGAGGGCCATGAGACTTAGACCTGAGTGCAAAAATGGAGGCTCTAGCCCCTTCCAGAGCTGAGATATCGAAACTCAAAAATTCGGCCCGAAAAAAAAACGACAGTGGTACCCCTTACGTTTTTTTTTTTGGGCGAAAAATTAAGTTTCTCCAATCTTCCCAAACTCTGGATTCTGATAGAGGGCCATGAGACTTAGACCTGAGTGCAAAAATGGAGGCTCTAGCCCCTTCCAGAGCTGAGATATCGAAACTCAAAAATTCGGCCCGAAAAAAAAAACGACAGTGGTACCCCTTACGTTTTTTTTTTTGGGCGAAAAATTAAGTTTCTCCAATCTTCCCAAAACTCTGGATTCTGATAGAGGGCCATGAGACTTAGACCTGAGTGCAAAAATGGAGGCTCTAGCCCCTTCCAGAGCTGAGATATCGAAACTCAAAAATTCGGCCCGAAAAAAAAAACGACAGTGGTACCCCTTACGTTTTTTTTTTTGGGCGAAAAATTAAGTTTCTCCAATCTTCCCAAAACTCTGGATTCTGATAGAGGGCCATGAGACTTAGACCTGAGTGCAAAAATGGAGGCTCTAGCCCCTTCCAGAGCTGAGATATCGAAACTCAAAAATTCGGCCCGAAAAAAAAACGACAGTGGTACCCCTTACGTTTTTTTTTTGGGGCGAAAAATTAAGTTTCTCCAATCTTCCCAAAACTCTGGATTCTGATAGAGGGCCATGAGACTTAGACCTGAGTGCAAAAATGGAGGCTCTAGCCCCTTCCAGAGCTGAGATATCGAAACTCAAAAATTCGGCCCGAAAAAAAAACGACAGTGGTACCCCTTACGTTTTTTTTTTTTTGGGCGAAAAATTAAGTTTCTCCAATCTTCCCAAAACTCTGGATTCTGATAGAGGGCCATGAGACTTAGACCTGAGTGCAAAAATGGAGGCTCTAGCCCCTTCCAGAGCTGAGATATCGAAACTCAAAAATTCGGCCCGAAAAAAAAACGACAGTGGTACCCCTTACGTTTTTTTTTTGGGGCGAAAAATTAAGTTTCTCCAATCTTCCCAAAACTCTGGATTCTGATAGAGGGCCATGAGACTTAGACCTGAGTGCAAAAATGGAGGCTCTAGCCCCTTCCAGAGCTGAGATATCGAAACTCAAAAATTCGGCCCGAAAAAAAAACGACAGTGGTACCCCTTACGTTTTTTTTTTTTTGGGCGAAAAATTAAGTTTCTCCAATCTTCCAAAACTCTGGATTCTGATAGAGGGCCATGAGACTTAGACCTGAGTGCAAAAATGGAGGCTCTAGCCCCTTCCAGAGCTGAGATATCGAAACTCAAAAATTCGGCCCGAAAAAAAAAACGACAGTGGTACCCCTTACGTTTTTTTTTTTGGGCGAAAAATTAAGTTTCTCCAATCTTCCCAAAACTCTGGATTCTGATAGAGGGCCATGAGACTTAGACCTGAGTGCAAAAATGGAGGCTCTAGCCCCTTCCAGAGCTGAGATATCGAAACTCAAAAATTCGGCCCGAAAAAAAAACGACAGTGGTACCCCTTACGTTTTTTTTTTCGGGCGAAAAATTAAATTTCTCCAATCTTCCCAAAACTCTGGATTCTGATAGAGGGCCATGAGACTTAGACCTGAGTGCAAAAATGGAGTCTCTAGACCCTTCCAGAGCTAAGATATATCAGGTCTTAAATTTAATTTAGAAGTGGTATTAAAAAGTTTTAAATTTAAATTGTTTATACCTGTAGCCACCCTGATATAATACACAACTGCAAATGAATATATTTATATTTTTCTAGTCAGCTAAATGAATAAATGTAAATATTTCTTTATTGTTTTTAATTTGATTGTCATTCACAATGCTTCATAGGATTGTAGTTTTTCTCAAATCCAAGTACACAGTTGTTGTTTTTTTTAAATCATTTTTGTACGTAAGTTTGTTATGTGACTGGTTGGTTTTGTTCACATGGCTCATAGCACTTTGACCAAATTTATTTATTATTATTATTTTTTAATTGAACGGGAAACTACTTCCGTAACCAATCCTGCTGATCAACAGTTGTGCACTGTTGCACTCTATGAGCTTTCAGTATTAGCATCTTGGACTAATGTGGCTAGAGATGAAACTAACAAAACTATTGAATATATTGCTCTTGCTTTGTATCTGCTTTGTAGTTTCCCAAATGAGCCAATGGAGCATGATGAAGATGATTCAATGTAGAAGTCTACTCCTTTTCTGGGGGACTTCATTCCTCTCCAAGCAGAAGCTGGACATCCTGTGCTTTAACTGACTGAAGCTACTGTAATATTACTGTGTGAGACAGGAGACAATCCTTAGGAACTAAGATCAACAAAAGAACTTAACTGTCATAATCACATCTAGTGTGTGATTTATTCAAATGCTGACTCTGTCCTTGGTGGATTTGAAGGACTTTGACCATTTATTTCTAAGCTTTTATTAATTGCACTTTATATTCATCCATTTAAAAAAAAATCCTGAGACATTATACATTGTTTGTTTTATTATTATTCATATTGATTTCTCTTCAATGAACATGTAAGGCAGCTTATCCTTGAATGTAAACTACGTATATAGCAAACACAAAGAAAAGGGAACAAAGTGCTTTTTGCTATATCGTTTGCAAGACCATTTGGGCTGATACTAATTTCTGAGGATATTATTTTTCTTTTTTATCACCAAATTGCTTTACAATTAAATTGAAAGTTTTTTGTGTGGAATGCCATTACACAATTTGCCTGGATTTGTATGTTTTGTAGGCTTTTCAGTTTTCTTCAACATGTTTTGCTATTCTCAGAATTAAATAAAGCTGTATTTTTTAAAACATTTTGCAAATCAAGAAGCATGTGTCTGGTTGCCATAACAGGTTATTTTATTAATGGCCCGCTCACACATAAAGTTATTAATTTCATAACATTACAGTATAATGGATACGTTCACAAAAGTGTCTGAAATGTTAGGCAACCGCCAACATCACATTCAAACAGTGTAACACAATGTTTCTGTGTAAATATAAAACGAAATCTCAACATAATATAAGATATGCATGCAGTATTGTCTGAGTGAATGAATTTATACAAAACAACTCTCAGATGACAGACGTGATGGTAATACTGAAAATCACTAACCCTGTAGGTCTACAAATATCATTGATTGAATCATTCATATAATCCAAATGTGTGCTAGATGTTGCTTTGGGGTCATAAAAATATTAACAAGAAAAGAAAAACAAAAAGCCTTTCCAAACGACGTTTCACTCATCAATAAAGCCTCAAGATTCCCACACAAGGTTTTCGATTGTTTAAACCACATTGTCTAGACAATAAAGTGCTTATTTAACAATCAACAGCCAGCTACCTAAATGCAAAGAGGCAGAAGGAGAAATTGTTTTTTAGGGACAGATCAGCTTAATAAAAACCTGTCACTTATCAATATCCCATAATGAAACTGCAGAAAAAACATTCAGGACAACAAGAAAAGAGCAGCAAGGAGAAAGACAAAAGACTCCTTTTAATACCTATTAACCATACATACTCAAAGTGAAAATATTCACATTGATCAGAGCTATTAAAAAGGCAAAAAATGTAAACGACAGATGACGTCCTTCAACATACTCTTGCGTCTAACAAGATCTACAACAGACAACAGTAGATAGAGAGGGAAGTGACACACTAATGTCGTATATTGATATAAAAAAAACACGAAAGCTTTCTGACTCTCCACGTTGAGTGTTCCTTGTCCATTTCAAATGGTAACAGCCAAGCATGTCTCCATTCTCTGTGGGCACGAGTGCATCACTGTGTGTGTATTTAAAAGTCACTGAGGATGGAGATGTCGGCAAATTCTTTGTGATACCGATGAGAATAGAGGGCCAGCAGGAACGCCCACTTCAAACTCATGAAGCTCCACACACATGACAGGTACAGACTGGCAGGATCTGTGAGGGCTGTAGACACACACACACACACACACACACACACATTAAAAAGTAAGTGAAACAGTTGAAAATAGTTAAAACAACCGTCCTCCTGAGTTTAATGTCCTGAAGACCACTTTCTCTTCATGTTACAAATACAATTTCAAAGCAAACATTCATGACTTCAGTGCTTCAGTATGGACCTCTACTCACATTCTTTGTGGGAGATGGCCACACCGAGGAAGGAGATGAACGCTACGATGGAAACCATGGAGAAAGTGACGCCTGTGACCAAGAAAAACTTCAGGCCCTTTAACCATGTTCTCCAAAAGTCCTGAAGGTACATTATGTGTGTGACCAGAGTCCATAATGCCAAAACACCTGGAGAAATACATGTATAAACACACAATGAGCCTTATGAAGTTCAAAGCACATACTAGTTTTGCATGTGACTAAATCTATGACTCTGCAATTTATTATTGCTTTGTCATATTCTGTGTTCCTGTTTGATTCTTTTGACAGCACTTGTTTGCTCTCAGTTCTGCATGTGATGTTAGATTTACAGAAGAGCATTTTGTGACACAACAAACCATAATCTCCCTGACCAACACCAACATATTTTCATTTTTTTAAACAGTGGTGTATGTGGGTAGGATGTTTACTAATCAACAGTTTTACTTGCCCTCATAAAAAACCCACATACTATAAATAATAGGTTAGTTCATGTGAAATATCAAGAAGTGACTGCAGTGTGACATGCTTTAGAATTCCTGTATAATTATTAGACATACTCTTGTGCATCCATTTAAAAAAGTTACTCTGAGGTCCTGTCAAAAACCTGTCATAAAAACCATGTAGGAGCACAGTTCAAGACATTTTGACGCAGAGAGGTTTTTCTTTTTCCCGAAAATGCAAGTTAAAGGTGCTATATGTAATTTTTAGCGGCCTCTATCAGTGATGTTTCAGATTGCAACTGATTTCTACAACAGTGCTCGTGCGCTTGCACGTGCTCCAACACAAGAGCGATCACTCATGGTACGCGGCCACACTTTTTTCCACTCAGGTCAAAGTCTCATGGCCCTCCATCAGAATCCAAAGTTTCAAGAAGATCAGAGAAACTCAAAATTTCGACCCCCCAAAAAAACGACAGCGGCACCCTTTCGGTTTTTTTTTCAGTGCGAAAAAATAAGTTTCTCCAATCTTTTCAAAATAGATAGAATAGAATAGAGTTTGATAGAATCCAGAGTTTGGAGAAGATTGGAGAAATTAATTTTTTTCGCACCAAAAAAAAAACAAAACGAAAGGGGTACCACTGTCGTTTTTTTGGAGGGGGTCGAAATTTTGAGTTTCTCTGATCTTCTTGAAACTCTGGATTCTGATAGAGGGCCATGAGACTTAGACCTGAGTGCAAAAATGGAGTCTCTAGGCCCTTCCAGAGTTGAGAGATTGAGATCCCACGTAGCATTTATGCCATTATAAAAATCTCAATATCTCAGCTCTCGAAGGGTCTAGAGCCTCAATTTTTGCACTCAGGTCTAAGTCTCATGGCCTTCTATCAGAATCCAGAGTTTCAAGAAGATCAGAGAACTCAAAATTTCGACCCCCCCAAAAAAAACGACAGTGGTACTTTCGTTTTTTTTTCGGTGCGAAAAAATAAGTTTCTCCAATCTTCTCAAAACTCTGGATTCTGATAGAGGGCCATGAGAGTTAGACCTGAGTGCAAAAATTGAGTCTCTAGACCCTTCCAGAGCTGAGATATTGAGATCCCACGTAGCATTTATGCCATTATAAAAATATCAATATCTTAGCTCTGGAAGGGTCTAGAGCCTCAATTTTTGCACTCAGGTCTAAGTCTCATGGCCCTCTATCAGAATCCAGAGTTTTGAAAAGATTGGAGAAACTTATTTTTTTCGCACTGAAAAAAAAAAAAACGAAAGGGGTACCACTGTCGTTTTTTTTGAGGGGGGTCGAAATTTTGAGTTTCTCTGATCTTCTTAAAACTCTGGATTCTGATAGAGGGCCATGAGACTTAGACCTGAGTGCAAAAATGGAGTCTCTAGGCCCTTCCAGAGTTGAGAGATTGAGATCCCACGTAGCATTTATGCCATTATAAAAATCTCAATATCTCAGCTCTGGAAGGGTCTAGAGTAGGGCTGAAACGATTCCTCAAGTTATTCGAGTTACTCGATTACAAAAATTCCTCGAGGCAAAAAATCTGCCTCGAAGCCTCGTTAAATTCCTATGACGCGCACGCAGGGATCTGATTGTTTCACATGGACCGTTATTCAGGAAGCACACCATAGCGCATGATACATTTGACTTCATAAATGGCAGAGAATGTCTAAAGTTTGGGATCATTATATGTTTATAAAGGGAGACAACAAGATGCAATGTGTCTGCAAAGTGTACCTGGCAGGGCTGCCAACTCTCACGCATTCAGCGTGAGACTCACGCAATTCGATTTCTCACGCTGAAGTGTCAATCCCTTCGGTCAAATGCCTGAAAGATGAGTTCGTCTATCTACCTGTTGAGCCATCGTGATCGACTAGTTTTACCGCCGCATATTAATTCGCAAGTTAAAATATGCTGTAATCTAGTGCGAGCGCGCATGCGAGACGTTGAGCTCCTAACCGCGGCTCGCGCAAGACGGCAGAGAGGTAAGCGAGCGCGTGCACCCATGTCTCTCTCACACGCCAGTCAGACCAATTGCGGCAATTCATCATATGCTTAAACTTTTATGTAGCCACGCAACAAAAATTTCAGCATACATTCACCGGGACGTGATGCAGGAACAAATATTGTGAGACACACGGACACACACACTCTGATGTTTGTCTTTGAGATTACAGTTGAAAAAGTCTGATTCTTATTTATAATTGTTTTATTTCCATTTATTTATTTATTTATAATTTGTACACATTTGTGTACCTGTTTGGGTTGATATTTTATATTAATTTATTTTTGCTTACAGGTGGGTAATTTGCAGAAGGTGCAATCCTTTTTTTGTAAAGTTGTATTAAGAAGACAAAACTAAGGCCAAATGGGCTTTACTATTTAAGTTTGTATTAAAAGTTTTACATGTTATGGGCTACATGTAACATGTTTTACAGTAAATTGTTTTAACTGTATTGTTATATAATTGTTGGCACTGGCACTTATAAACACTAAATGGGTAAAAATTGCAATAATTAGTTGTGGGGCCAAATGTTGCAGTTGAAATAAATACCTCTATTTTTTTTTTAAAGGAATAAAAGCCAAACACCTTATCATTTTCGTAATACATTATTTGTTTTGGTTGCTTAAAAATACACATAAACAAATTATCCGATTACTCGATTAATCGATCGATTAAGTGCTAGATTAATCGATTACAAAAAGAATCGATAGCTGCAGCCCTAGTCTAGAGCCTCAATTTTTGCACTCAGGTCTAAGTCTCATGGCCTTCTATCAGATACCAGAGTTTCAAGAAGATCAGAGAAACTCAAAATTTCGACCCCCCAAAAAAACGACAGTGGTACCCCTTTCGTTTTTTTTCGGTGCGAAAAAATAAGTTTCTCCAATCTTCTCAAAACTGTGGATTCTGATAGAGGGCCATGAGACTTAGACCTGAGTGCAAAAATGGAGTCTCTAGACCCTTCCCGAGCTGAGATATTGAGATCCCACGTAGCATTTATGCCATTATAAAAATCTCAATATCTTAGCTCTGGAAGGGTCTAGAGCCTCAATTTTTGCACTCAGGTCTAAGTCTCATGGCCCTCTATCAGAAACCAGAGTTTCAAGAAGATCAGAGAAACTCAAAATTTCGACCCCCCAAAAAAACGACAGTGGTACCCCTTTCGTTTTTTTTCGGTGCGAAAAAATAAGTTTCTCCAATCTTCTCAAAACTCTGGATTCTGATAGAGGACCATGAGACTTAGACCTGAGTGCAAAAATGGAGTCTCTAGACCCTTCCAGAGCTGAGATATTGAGATCCCACGTAACATGTATGCCATTATAAAAAATCTCAATATCTTAGCTCTGGAAGGGTCTAGAGCCTCAATTTTTGCACTCAGGTCTAAGTCTCATGGCCTTCTATCAGAATCCAGAGTTTCAAGAAGATCAGAGAAACTCAAAATTTCGACCCCCCAAAAAAAACGACAGTGGTACCCCTTTCGTTTTTTTTCGGTGCGAAAAAATAAGTTTCTCCAATCTTCTCAAAACTCTGGATTCTGATAGAGGGCCATGAGAGTTAGACCTGAGTGCAACAATTGAGTCTCTAGACCCTTCCAGAGCTGAGATATTGAGATCCCACGTAGCATTTATGCCATTATAAAAATATCAATATCTTAGCTCTGGAAGGGTCTAGAGCCTCAATTTTTGCACTCAGGTCTAAGTCTCATGGCCTTCTATCAGATACCAGAGTTTCAAGAAGATCAGAGAAACTCAAAATTTCGACCCCCCAAAAAAACGACAGTGGTACCCCTTTCGTTTTTTTTCGGTGCGAAAAAATAAGTTTCTCCAATCTTCTCAAAACTGTGGATTCTGATAGAGGACCATGAGACTTAGACCTGAGTGAAAAAAATGGAGTCTCTAGGCCCTTCCAGAGTTGAGAGATTGAGATCCCACGTAGCATTTATGCCATTATAAAAATCTCAATATCTTAGCTCTGGAAGGGTCTAGAGCCTCAATTTTTGCACTCAGGTCTAAGTCTCATGGCCCTCTATCAGAATCCAGAGTTTTGAAAAGATTGGAGAAACTTATTTTTTTCGCACTGAAAAAAAAAAAAACGAAAGGGGTACCACTGTCGTTTTTTTTGAGGGGGGTCGAAATTTTGAGTTTCTCTGATCTTCTTAAAACTCTGGATTCTGATAGAGGGCCATGAAACTTAGACCTGAGTGCAAAAATGGAGTCTCTAGGCCCTTCCAGAGTTGAGAGATTGAGATCCCACGTAGCATTTATGCCATTATAAAAATCTCAATATCTCAGCTCTGGAAGGGTCTAGAGTAGGGCTGAAACGATTCCTCAAGTTATTCGAGTTACTCGATTACAAAAATTCCTCGAGGCAAAAAATCTGCCTCGAAGCCTCGTTAAATTCCTATGACGCGCACGCAGGGATCTGATTGTTTCACATGGACCGTTATTCAGGAAGCACACCATAGCGCATGATACATTTGACTTCATAAATGGCAGAGAATGTCTAAAGTTTGGGATCATTATATGTTTATAAAGGGAGACAACAAGATGCAATGTGTCTGCAAAGTGTACCTGGCAGGGCTGCCAACTCTCACGCATTCAGCGTGAGACTCACGCAATTCGATTTCTCACGCTGAAGTGTCAATCCCTTCGGTCAAATGCCTGAAAGATGAGTTCGTCTATCTACCTGTTGAGCCATCGTGATCGAC